CGAAAGGTGTCACGTGCAGGGAGCGTGCTTTCCGAGTGGGTCTCCTTTTCATTCTTGTATTTCAGCCTGGCTGTTTTTAAAAGGCAACGCAAATGAAGTTTCATCAACAGGTTGGTTCACTGGGAGTTTGAATTCAAGGACTAGCCCTGAGTAATTTGAAGAACTTAAAAGTTACAGGAGGGGGTGACATCTGACGTTACTTCTGCACAGTGCAAACTAATGTGTAGCAAGCACGGGCCGACGTTTCCCCTGCCAGGCCCCGCCATGTGTTTTCATCGATGCCGCTTTAATTCATTGGTGGGTATTACGTGGTGCAGTTAGTGGAGATGGCTGTCCCTGTTCCGTGAAGGAGTCGGGCTCAGTCTTGGTCCAGGACTTCACTGTGAAGGGGAGTCCCAAACACTGCTGCGCCCCTTCATGCTGCTTGGTCTGCTCTGGACACAGCAGACGTCAGGGCCCCCTCTGGGTTCAAGGCTTCTGTGGATGATTGCCTGGGAAATATCCAAGAGTATCTGTGGCCTTTGCAGACGACTCAGGCTCCTGAAGGGTCCAAATCCCAAGTTCAGGTCTTGAATTGGCAACTTCAGACTAAATGTTGGTCAGACACAGTGCTTCACACCTGCAATCCCAGCAGGAGGTTCACTTGAGGCCAGGAGTGTGAGACCAGCCTGAGCAACATAGAGAGACCCTGTCTCTACAAAATATATTTTTTAAATTAGCCGGGTGTGGAAGTGTGCGCCTGTAGTCCCAGCTACTCGGGAGGCTGAGGCAGGAGGATCTCTTGAGCCCAGGAGTTGGGGGCTGCAGTGAGCTATGATTGCACCACTGCACTCTAACCTGGGCGACAGAGCGGGACCCTGACTCAAAAAATTTTTTTTTTAATTTTTCTTTATAAGACTAAATGTTAAATGAACAATTGTCACCTTTAGGAAAAAAAACAAAACCAACGGAACCCTTCGCTGCAGTGATTCTAAATATGTTTTCCTTTATTCATTGAGGTGCCCACTTTATTTATTTTGGGGATCTAAGTTGCAACTCACTGAACAGAGACCTTATTTTATTTTTAATCGCCCCATCTTGGTGCTGTTCCAGAGGGTATTTGAGAATGTTCTCCGTGTTGTGGCCGAAACCTGGAAGTCATTGTGTTGTCTGCATGGAAGGGGCGGGTGGGGTGGGGAACAGATTCAGGCCCTGATAAAAGACCCCGAATTCGGCCGCACAATTTTTTCCAGTCTGGGTGCTTTGTCTCTGCAGTGTCCTTGCATCCACAGCAGGGGAAGCAAGGCAAGAGGACTTCTGCCTGGAGAACCACCAGGGGCGGGGTCAAGACAGCAGGGAGGGGAGGGAGAGTGTTACCTACAGCACCAGCCTTCCCAGGAAGTGAATGCTCCCCAGAATGGGGCTTCAGTTAGGAATCAAGTTACCCTCAAGCTAAAGGTGGTTATTTGGAGCCACTCCACAGGAGCACGGCTGGTGTGTGTGTCCTACCGCAGCAACAGGGCTGCAGAGGGGGGCCGTGCTGTCTTACTCTGAAATGGCGGATGAGGAGGCTACTGAAAGCTTTGCATGGTGCCGCTGATGAACAGAATGGCTGCTAAGCTGGCCAGTGAGTTAAAGTCAGTAGAAGCTCTCTGAAGGGGGCAGTCTCACCTTGCCTCCCGCCCCACCTCTGCTGTGGGCGTCCCGCACCCAGGCTCCTGGCTGTAGGGCTCGGTGCCCTCTGCCCTCCTCAAGAACTTTCCTCCTGGGGTGTCCCCTCTCTCCACCCTCATCGCTGTCTCCTCCCTGCGCAGGTTCACTGGATACACAACGCCTCTCCCGTCCATTATTCTGTCCCTGACGCCCAGGCCTGGCCCAGGGCCTGCATGTATTCACGAGAAGGCATCCACTCGCCCTGTCACTCCCCTCAGCCCCACTCAAAGCCGCTGGGTGTGCGTGTCAGCTGATGACGCTTGGTGCCCCGTCTAGGAGTCACCATCTTAGCCGAGCAATCAGATCTCAGGCTGCTTATGAACAAGCTCAGGCTAATGTAAGCCAAGAAGAATGATCGAGAAGGATTTCGGGCAGCTTTGAGAATCTTGAGAACCAGGTGTGTGGGCTACACAGACAGGACCAGCCAAGGTCAGGCAGCAGGACTGGACCAGCGGAGATGACACGGACAGCAGCTGGTGCTGCGCACACCCCAGTAGTGGACGCTGGACCGGCCCTGTACACACACCCAGCGCTGCCTCCCAAAGCGGACCTGCCGCTGCCAAGGCCTCTCCAGAGGTGCTTCTCTGCCCGCGTCCGTTTGTCGTTGGGGCACAAGCTTCTAACTCGGGAGACGTGTCTGATCAGCCCTGCCAGTCACATGCCTTGCTCTAGCTGCAAGGGAGGCTGGAAAAGCCAGTCGTTGGCCTCTTTCCTTCTAGAATGGAGGTTGGGGCTGTGCCTGCACAGATAGGAGGGAATCCTCAGCTATACAAGGGGCCTGTGATGCGGGGTGGGGGGTGCAGACAGAATGCAGACGCCTGTACAAAACCTACGCCTCCCCACGTCTCCCTGACACCTTTGATCAGGGTGGGCGTGGTCTAGCCCGGGCCCACCGTAGGAAGGCGCAGCAGCAGTTATCCAGAGAGCCTGGGGCTCCACCTCACGATGTGCTCACAATCCACGTGCAGCCTTGTGATGCCAGAAGTACAAATGCAGACGCTTGCTGGACAGCCTTTCTAGAATAAGAGGGAGTCCCGGTGTTGATAGGAAGGGAGATGTCACATGGCAGAGCTGTCTGCAGAGTCCTGAGAAAATAGCGTGTCTTGCTTTCCTGTGTGCACACTGGGCGGCTTGTAATCCCAACACCTGCTACAATATTGTTTAAAAGAAAAATACACAGAGGAGACTTCAAAAAGTTAATGGAAAATACATATTATGAAAAAGCTATGCATGGATTTTAAAGGTTTTTTTACACCAAAATAAACTCGTACTACCTTATTATAACATGTCTGAGCAGGATCTAGTTTGAGGCACTAAGAAGGACAAGACATCAGTTTGAAAAGAGCCCCTATCAGAGCAATGTGAATTCTGATAAAATTGAAGTGAGAACAAACATCAAATTTATGGTGAAGCTTGGGTGGAAGAACGGTGAAATCATCGGTGCTTCATGAAAAGTTTCCGGGAACGATGCCCCAAAGGATTCGGCAGTTCCCAAACAGATAACTTGTTTTAAGAAGACGCGACGATGTTGAAGATGTAGCCGGCAGCAGCAGACCCTCCAAATCAGTTCTCAAGGAAAAACGTTCATCTTGTTCGCGCCCTAATCGAAGAGGACTGGTGATTAATAGCACAAACGCCACAGACATCTCAAACGTTCCGCTTACGCAATTCTGACAGAAATGAAAGGTGAGCAAACTCCGCTCGGTGGATGCCGAGACTGTTGCGCCTAGATCGGCTGCAGACAAGAGCAGAGCCTCCAGCGGAAACTTTAAACAAATCGGATCAGGATCCTGAAGCATTTCTTCCAAGAACTGTAACAGGAGATGAAACACGGCTTTGCCAGTACGACCCTGGAGACAGCACAATGGAAGCAGTGGCTGCCAGAGGCAGGAGGGTCCGTCACAGCCACGGCAGCCTGGTCAGGGACAGAGGTCACGGCAGGAGTTCTGGGGGTGCTCAAACATTTTGCTTGTTGACTTTCCAGAGGGTCAAAGAACGATAACGACTGCTTATCATGGGAGTGTTTGGAGAAAGTCAGCTGAAGCTTTGGCAGAAAAACACCCGGGAAAGCTTCAGCGGAGACGACGACTCCACCACCGTTGCTCATTCCTCTCGTCACGCAGGGGCAATTTTTTGCGAGTTTGGTGGGCAATCATTAGGCCTCCACCTTACACTCCTCGTTTGGCTCCTTCTGACTTCTTTTTGTTTCCTAATCTTAAAAAAAATCTGTAAAGGGCACCCATTTTTGTTCAGTTAATGATGTAAAAAAGGCTGCACTGACATGGTTAAGTTCCCAGGACGCTCGGTTTTGTAGCGATGGATGAAACGGCCGATGCCGTCGTTTATTAAAGGGTCTTGACCTTGATGGAGGAGGTTACGTTGGGAAGTAAAGTTTACATTTTTTTATTTTATCTATTCCATTTTTCCATGAACATTTTGAACCCTCGTACATCTTAATGGATGGGAAGACAGAGACGTAGGCAAACGATCTGAGCTAAGTCAGGTTCTGAGCATGCACCGTGTCATTGCTCGACTAAGCAAGGGCTAAATTCACGACCAAGCCCCGTCCCTTTCCCACCCAGGGTGCAAGGAGGCCACGCCAGCAGCCGCTCCCCAGCCGTCCTGCTGCTTCTCCGCCTCGCCGCTGTTGGCGTCGCTGATAACCTCAGTCAAGATCATCGGCTCTAGAAACCTTATTTTTGCTGTACACTGTCACTGTTTGGATGTCTGCACAAGCACACACTCACCACTGTGTTACAGTCGCCTACAGTGCTCAGTGCGGTCACCTGCCGTGCGGCCCGCGAGCGACAGGCGGCACCATGCGGCGCAGGCGCGCGCTGGGCTCTGCCATCTGGGTGTGTGCGAGGGCGCTGCGGTGTTCCCACAACGGCGAAACCACCTAATGACACATGCCTTGGAACACGTCCCTGTCGCTACGCGATGCGGGGGTGCACACGAGTTTCACTGGAGGAGGTGTTCAGACAGACTGGAGGCCGGCCGGGAGCTGAGTCACAATTACTTTATTTATCGACTTTCCCGCGTCCTCGGATCCTGCACTTGCGGCACCGCCAGCCTCAGACAAGTTCCCAGTGGCGACTGCGGGTGTAGGGAAGCCGCGGGAGGCGTGTAAGGAACTCCCACCCCCCAGCACGCGCGTGACGCATTCCCGCCACGAAGGATCCTCAGGAAGCAGCTCCAGCGTGGTGACCAGAGCGAGGCTGGGGGCGGGGGGACGGTGACGGGGACCGCAGAGCACAGCTCTGAGGAACAAGAAGTGCAATACGGGTCTGGCCCCGGCCGCACCCCCTTCACAGGTCTCCGTGGGTCTGGGGAGCAGAGTCGACCTCATTTGTGTCGCGGGGCCCACTTGTTGTGTGGATCTCAACTGTGCTGGCGTCAGAACCTGAGGAGGAAAAGAGAGAAGACGGTGATGGTGTCTGTGTCCTAGACGGTCTGTCATTAGCTTCAGGAAACGCTCTTGGTACCGAGCTAGACCCTGAGTGTCTCGTATGCCAACTTGGGCCAAGGTCTTAGCAGTCACCTTTCTGTGGGGGAAGAAAAAAGCTGCATTCTCCTTTCATCTGCATTTTATTAAATCATTCCAAAGGATGACGCAAACCCTAGAGGAGCGTCGAAGGCGATCGATACATGACTGCCTCAGGCAACTGCAACTGCTGACCGGGCGAGGTTTTGGAGCCCCGGGGACATGTGCACGGGGCAGAGGGCAGAGTGCAGTCTCGTGACTGCGAGTGTGGCTTCCACAGGGGTGACAGCTCAGGCAGTGGGGACCCGGTGGCTGCCCGGCTACCTACATTCAACTCGGGAGGTGCCCAAAGGGAGAGAGACCACTACCCTGAAATAGCCACCTCTGAGTCGTCTTGTCACGCACAATGCCACAGGGCTTCAGCGAGCAGCTCCTCCCGCCAACACCTCCCTGTCCCCACGGGAGACACGCCCGTCTCTCAAGCCCCAGTGGCGTGCACAATGGCACATGCCTGGGAAATGTTTGCCAAGTGGAGCTGCTTTGTTCTGATCACGGACTGGGACCCTAGATATGACAGCAAAGTAAGAAATGCTGTTTTTTGAATACCAGAATGTGTATGTCCAAATACACTCCACGTCACTCAGCACCCCCTTCAAGAGAAATCACCGGAGACTTTTTCCTCAGGCCTGGGTCTCAAGAGAATTTGCTTCCAGGTGCAGTGTTTTCTTGTGGATAATTCAGGTCTTACAACTGGTCACGTTTTCTCTTTATTTCCCATTTAGGAAGCTCAAAGCCAAACAGGCTTAAAGCCCATTTTAAATAACTAGGGGAGGTTGATTCTGCTCTTTTGATTTCATTGTCATTCTCCTTTGGTCCTGTTCACATTCTTTGTTTGGGCAATCCTTACCCTTTTGTTCTGTTTTGTTTTGAGACAGAGTCTCACTCCGTTGCCGT